GACCGGACCGACCTGACTGGGCTGACCTGACCGGGCTGACCTGACAGAACTGACGGACCTGACCGGGCGACCGGACCGACCTGACCAGGCTGACCTGACCGGGCTGAACTGACCGACCTGACCGGGCGACCGGGCCGACCTGACCAGACTGACCTGACCGGGCTGACCTGACCGGGCTGACCTGACCGAACTGACCGACCTGACCCTGCGACCGGACGGACCTGACCAGGCTGACCTGACCGGGCTGACCTGACCGAACTGACCGACCTGACCGGGCGACCGGGCCGACCTGACCTGACCGAACTGACCGAACTGACCGACCTGACCGGGGCACCAGAGTTAGTACTAATCTTCTTTATTTGCCAACGCCGTCATTCCAGACCTTCGTTTTCCTTTTCGTCATAAGGCAGCACCGTGGTCTTTGCAGCATTCGCTGTTCCTGGATGAAGGAAGATTGACAGCCACCCAAATGTTTTCCTACTTAATTGCAAAGAGAATAGATGTTTCCCTATTAAATCCAAAGAAAACAAAGGTTTTGCTATTGAAATCCCAGAGCGAATAGAGATTTTCCCTGAAATTTCCGAGAAGATAGATTTCCCTCATAAAGTGCAAAGGACAACAACGACAACAACGACGACAACGACAACAACGACGACAACGACAACAACGACGACAACGACGACGACAACGTTGCTAAGAGAATAGATGTTTCCTTATTAAATCCTAAGAAAACAAAGGTTTTGCTATTAAAATCCCAAAGCGAATAGAGATTTTCCCTGAAATTTCCGAGAAGATAGATTTCCTTCATAAAGTGCAAAGGACAACAACGACAACAACGACAACAACGACGACAACGACAACAACGACGACAACGACAACAACGACGACAACGACGACAACGACGACAACAACAACGACAACGTTGCAAAGAGAATAGATGTTTCCTTATTAAATCCAAAGAAAACAAAGGTTTTGCTATTGAAATCCCAAAGCGAATAGAGATTTTCCCTGATATTAACGTACCAAGGAGACTTAGGGTTTTTTTCCGTCAAAGGCAAGCGGGGGGGTTGGGGGGGGCTGCATGTGTATGCTTTGAAGCAAGCTTGTGCGGCTTCAAAAAAAGCGGCTTCAAAAAAAGCGGGGGGGTTGGGGGGGCGCAGCCGCCCCCATTTGCAAACATCATTTTCGCACGATATGTTATTAAAATAGTAGTAGTAGTAGTAGTAGTAGTAGTAGTAGTAGTAGTAGCAGTAGTAGTAGTAGTAGTAGGAAGAGGAGGAGGAGGGTTTAGGCTTTAGGGTTTAGGGTTTAGGGTTTAGGGTGTAGGGTTTAGGGATTTTTGGGGGCTGCGGTGGGAAGCAAAGGCCCAGGGGCCCTCCTATCCCTAGGGATTTTTTGGGGCTGCGGTGGGAAGCAAAAGCCAAGAGGCCATCCTATTGCTTAGGACTTTTTGGGCTGCGGTGGGAAGCAAAGGCCCAGAGGCCCTCCTATCTTTTGGGGTTTTTGGGGGCTGCGGTGGGAAGCAAAGGCCAGGGGCCCTCCTATCCCTTGGCATTTCTTGGGGCTGCGGTGGGAAGCAAAGGCCAAGAGGCCATCCTATTGCTTAGGACTTTTTGGGCTGCAGTGGGAAGCAAAGGCCCAGAGGCCCTCCTATTTTTTGGGATTCTTGGGGGCTGCGGTGGGAAGCAAAGGGTAGGGGCCCTCCTATCCCTTGGCATTTTTTGGGGCTGCGGTGGGAAGCAAAGGCCAAGAGGCCATCCTATTGCTTAGGACTTTTTGGGCTGCGGTGGGAAGCAAAGGCCCGGAGTCTACTAGCCGACAAAACTATCCTAAGCCACAGTAATAGCATTTTTCGTCAAAGTGAGTTCTTGCAATTTCGGAAAAGAACGGCGGGGAGTCGTTTTGAAGCTCGAGAACTTATTTTGGGACAGGCTCGCCTCGCTGCCAGCTTTTGCGCGAAGCCGTTTCGGACCAAAAAGTAGGCTTTTTTCATAGATTCGCAAATTCTGAAATCACGCTGGCTCTGTACTTTTTTAGCCTAGAATCAGCAAAAACTGAAAACGTGCTCAAAAAATCCTACCGCGGACATAGTAAAAAATCGCAAAAATTGGCCAATTTTTGGGGCCCGTGTAGTATAAAATCAAATAAAAAACGGTACGTGAGCATGCCTTGAGATGCAGGAGAAAAGAGTACCCAGAAACCGCGGTATCATTCCCAAAAAATGACAAAAACACACCATACTCTCCTACGTCTCAATGCCGCACCCCAATTTATTTTGTTTTATTCTGCTTCCGCGCTGCTATAGTTGCAAAACTGGATTTTTGGAGCTGCGGTGGGAAGCAAAGGCCCAGAGGCCCTCCTATCCCTTGGGATTCTTGTGGCTGCGGTGGGAAGCAAAGGCCGAGAGGCCATCCTATCGCTTAGGACTTTTTGGTCTGCGGTGGGAAGCAAACTAGCCGACAGAACTATCCTAAGCCACAGTAATAGCATTTTTCATCGAAGTGAGTTAAACAACAAAAACAACAACGACAACAACAACAACAACAACAACAACGACAACAACGACCACAACAACGACCACAACAACAACAACCACCACCACCAAAACAACAACAACCAACAGCAACAACAGCAGCAACAACAACAACGACAACAACAACAACAACAACAACAACAACAACAACAACAAGTACAACAAGTACATGAACAAGAACAATAACAAGAACAAGAGCAAGAACACGAACAATAAGAAGAGCAAGAACAAGAACAACAACAATAACAATAACACGAACAATAACAAGAACAAGAACAAGAACAATAACAAGAGCAATAACAATTAACAAGAGCGATAACACCAACAACAACAACAACAACAACAACAACAACAACAACAACAACAACAACAACAACAACAACAACAACAACAACAACAACAACAACAACAACAACAACAACAACAACAACAACAACAACCAACAACAACAACAACAACAACAACAACAACAACAACAACAACAACAACAACAACAACAACAACAACAACAACAACAACAACAACAACAACAACAACAACAACAAACAACAACAACCAACAACAACAACAACAACAACAACAACAACAACAACAACAACAACAACAACAACAACAACAACAACAACAACAACAACAACAACAACAACAACAACAACAACAAAAAAAACAACAACAACAACAACAACAACAACAACAACAACAACAACAACAACAACCACAACCACAACCACAACCACAACCACAACCACAACCACAACCACAGCAACAACAACAACAACAACAACAACAACAACAACAACAACAACAACAACAACAACCACCACCACCACCACCACAACAACAACAACAACAACAGCAACAACGAGTAGTACATGAACAATACTAAGGTTTTGCTATTGAAATCCCAAAGCGAATAGAGATTTTCCCTGAAATTTTCGAGAAGATAGATTTCCCTCATAAAGTGCAAAGGAAATGAAGATTTTAATTTAAAATACAAAGAAAAGAAAAGGATTCCTATTAACGTACCAAGGCCTAAGGAGACTTAGTTTTTTTTTTCCGTCAAAGGCAAGCGGGGGGGTTGGGGGGGCTGCATGTGTATGCTTTGAAGCAAGCTTGTGCGGCTTCAAAAAAAGCGGGGGGGTTGGGGAGGCGCAGCCGCCCCCATTTGCAAACATCATTTTCGCACGATAGGTTATTAAAAAGCGGGGGGGTTGGGGGGGGCGCAGCCCCCCCATTTGCAAACACCATTCTCGCACGATAGGTTTATAGAAATGTTTGTAGTAGTATAGTCGTCGTCGTTGTCGTCGTCGTCGTACTAGCAATAGTAGCAGTACTAGCAGTAGTAGCAGCAGCAGCAGCAGCAGCAGCAGTAACAGTCGCAGTAGCAGTAGCAGTAGTAGTAGTAGTAGTAGTAGTAGTAGTAGTAGTAGTAGTAGTAGTAGTAGTAGTAGTAGTAGTAGTAGTAGTAGTAGGAGGAGGAGGAAGTTTCGCACGATAGGTTATGAAAAAGCGGGGGGGTTGGGGGGGGCGCAGCCCCCCCCATTTGCAAACACCATTCTCGCACGATAGGTTCTTTAATATGTATGCGCTCCGGAGCCGCCGCCTCGCTGCCAGCTTTTGTGCGAAGCCCGTTTCGGACGAAAATATAGGCTTTTTTCATAGATTCGCAAAAGTCTGAAATCACGGAACAATAAGAAGAACAAGAACAACAACAACAACAACAGCAACAACGACAACGACAAAGACAACGACAAAGACAACGACAAAGACAACGACAAAGACAACGACAAAGACAACGACAAAGACAACGACAACAACGACAACAACGACAACAACGACGACAACGACAACGACAACGACAACGTTGCAAACAGAATAGATGTTTCCCTATTAAATCCAAAGAAAACAAAGGTTTTGCTATTGAAATCCCAAAGAGAATAGAGATTTTCCCTGAAATTTCCGAGAAGATAGATTTCCCTCATAAAGTGCAAAGGAAATGAAGATTTTAATTTAAAATACAAAGAAAAGAAAAGGATTCCTATTAACGTACCAAGGAGACTTAGTTTTTTTTCCCGTCAAAGGCAAGCGGGGGGGTTGGGGGGGCTGCATGTGTATGCTTTGAAGCAAGCTTGTGCGGCTTCAAAAAAGCGGGGGGGTTGGGGAGGCGCAGCCGCCCCCGTTTGCAAACATCATTTTCGCACGATAGGTTATTAAAAAGCGGGGGGGTTGGGGGGGGGCGCAGCCCCCCCCATTTGCAAACACCATTCTCGCACGATAGGTTTATAGAAATGTTTGTAGTAGTATAGTCGTCGTAGTTGTCGTCGTCGTCGTACTAGCAATAG